AACATTTGCACAGCAACACACACAAACACATTTAGCGTGCAGTAGTCTAAGCTCGCTATGCGCCGCACTTTATTTATCGTGGCCGTGCCCCACTTCTAAAAATAAACAGATAATGTATTGATTATAGATCGTACACACACATCGCGATACGCCCGCGCCCTCTTTTGGGAACACAATGGCAATCGACGGCAAAGCGCCGCGTGGCGGTTCGCGGCTATTTTTGTTATTTAATGAGCCTGCCACTTTTGTTTAATTCTTTCCAGCGTAGAGTTGATTGCCTTGCGTAGAGGAGCGAGGCGTGGAGCCGGGCCTTACAGCGGCATGCAGGCGCCCTCCCCACGATTGTGTGTTATTGATTCGCCTTTGAATAGCAGAGTGCGAGAGGGGTAGAGCGAACATGGGGGAGGAGAGAGAGAGAGAGAGAGAGAGAGAGAGAGAGAGAGAGAGAGAGAGAGAGAGAGAGAGGGTAGCTGAGTACGTATTACTCAATGACGGTTAATCTTCCGGCTGCCGCCCTCCCTCCACCTCCCCCTCCTGTCCCTTCTACATATACCATTCTCTTCCAGCTTGATTGCTATTCCATGCTGTCACAAATCTAAATGTGAAAGATTTATATTACCTGTTTGTGCGGAGCAAATCACAAGTTTTCTTTTTTGCTATCCTCCCTTCCCTAATAATTGCACATCAAGCAAAAGTGTTCAGAATCGTCTCTCTCTCTCTCTCTCTCTCTCTCTCTCTCTCTCTCTCTCTCTCCTCTCAATTTTCAAGATGAAATGACCAATGATGAGTGAGATGACCTATTCTACCATCCAAAGAGATGTCACAGATAATTAGACAACATATTTCACTTCGTAATGGTGAAATACTGACACTCGGTCCTGCTGTTTAGAATACTTTATAAAACAGCTTTGACTGCACTTTTCTTGGCCCAATAACCCGGTCAGTGTTTCCTCCCAACCTAAACCAGTTTGCGTGACCTTTATCTTACAGTTTCCCGAGCCACCTGCCGGGTCCGTCGTCCGTGCGGGCCTCTGCTGCCTCCTTTTGTAGGGCCCTCCTTCGGATACCACTCGATTTGCATTCTGGTGCCTGAGGCCGGACGAGCGAGAGCGAGAGAGAGAGAGAGAGAGAGAGAGAGAGAGAG